TATCAGGTACTTTCTCTTCTTGCCAACTCAAAGGTGTTAATTGAAAAGCAATACAGAAAACCAAATAAAGCACATACTATTTTTTTAAAAAAAGGTTTTATATAAAATATGATTACTTGATACATTGTGGAAAACAGATAAATTCAATTATTTCAGCAAAACAGCAATTCTTCTATTTAAAATACATTTACAGAATTGTGAGGAAATACTGATGCTTAAAGAACCTTAAGAATGACATGCGTTATTACTATGTAAGCAATTTTACAGCAAAGCTAATCTGTTGTATCTAATGGTGTACATGATCATGTTTTATTTTGTTTGTAAAATAGACATAAAGTAGTGGATCATTTTTATCAAGGTCTAACGGTTTTTACTTCCACTCAGTTAAATTTTGATGTTTAGCTTTCCATTTTATTTTTTAAATTATTTATAGAGGACTTTCTAATTTGCCATACTCATTTTTCTTCTTTACTTTTCCTACTGATATAATTTGGCTGTGTCTCCAACCAAATCTCTTTTTGAATTGTAGTTCCCAAAGTCTCCACGTGTCATGGGAGGGACCTGGTGGGAGGTAATTGACACAGGATGGCTTCCCATGCTGTTCTCATGATAGTGAGTGAGTTCTCACTAGTTTCGATGGCCAGATTTTATAAGCATCTGGCCTTTACCCTGCTGGCACTCATTGTCTCTCCTGCTGCCCTGTGAAGACGTGACTTTCACTATAATTGTAGGTGTCCCATGACCTCCCCAGTCATTTGGAACTCTGAGTCAATCAATCCTCTTTTCTTTATAAGTTACCTAGTCTTAGTCGGGCGCGGTGGCTCAAGCCTGTAATCCCAGCACTTTGGGAGGCCGAGGCGGGTGGATCACGAAGTCAAGAGATCGAGTCCATCCTGGTCAACATGGTGAAACCCCGTCTCTACTAAAAATACCAAACATTAGCTGGGCATGGTGACACGTGCCTGTAATCCCTGCTACTCAGGAGGCTGAGGCAGGAGAATTGCCTGAACTCAGGAGGCGGAGGTTGCGGTGAGCCGAGATCGCGCCATTGCACTCCAGCCTGGGTAACAAGAGTGAAACTCCGTCTCAAAAAAAAAAAAAAAAAAGTTACCTAGTCTTGGGTATGTTTTCATAGCAGCATGAGAATAGACTAATACACCCACTGTTACCTTATTATGTTCATACTTTTATCTTTTTTTCCACTGGTTAAATTATTTTTTTATTTATGTCATTGGCAAATATTTATTAATTATTTTACATTAAAATAGTCATTACAGGTATTTTGACTTCATAGCATGCTTGGCATTTTACACTTGATGCTTACATAAAAAGCAGTCATGTACAGAGTGATAAATAATAACAGCAAGAACATCTAGCCTTATTGGGGCAGGGCATGGAGGATGTCAAGCTTTTATTTTCACTGGCTATAATTGAAGTAAGTAATCTTAAAAGAAGTAAATGCTCATTAAAAATATTCAATAATATGAAAGTATTAATATATAAGTGAAAAGTATATTTTTCATACCTGTCTCCAAGCTCTTACACACTAGTTGTATTCTGTCAACACATCGATATATTCAATTTACATTCTGCACATGCAAGTGCAAATGTTTATATATGTATCTGTGTCTATATACATGTATAAAAATACATGACAATATATTTCTTTTTACAAAATGGAACCTGACTGTGTGTACTGCTCTTCGTTATTTTTTTCCCCCCACTCATCAGTCACAGTAGTGTGGGCATCTTTGTACAAAAGCACATCTCATTACGACATGAGCCAGCTACTCCAAATTGAAGATATCTTTCTTCTTGGTTTTAGAGCCAGTCTTTCTGATTTTTCTCATAGGCCAGGGTTTCACTGGAAACATCCAAATTGAAAATATCCTCCCTTTATTAATTTATCCCCCTATTGATGAAATATAAGGCATCTGCATTTTTTTTTCCTAAAAATGATGAAATACTGAACAGCTATGTGGGGGAGCTTATATAGCTTTGAACTTTGCAAGCAGAATTTTTGAGTGAAAATATTTGCACGTTCACATGTTGGCTGACAGGAGAAAGTATTTTATCTTCCAATTTGCTTCCCACCAATTTTATATATTTTACTACACTGCCACATTCACTAATTTTGAATTATATTTATTTCAAATCAAATACATAACCTAATCACTAATGTAGTTTCACATTTTCACATGATTCTTGCTCTTATTTATTTCTTCCTCTATGGATTACCTTCATTTCCTTTGTCTATTGCTCTGGCATGTTGTTTAGATATTTTTCTCATTGGTTTAATGTCATTAATATATGTTGACCATTAAGCCATAGTTTACTACGTTGGTTTTCTTTTTGCAACTAAATTGTGGCTATAGTTAGCCATAAATCACTTTTAAAATAATTATATGTAGTTTTATTTGTCATTGCTTTGTATTCAAACCACATATCTTGAACAGAAACGAGTCTCTCAAGAAAATAAAAACATTTTATTTAATTATATATTTTATTTTAATATGTTATATGTAATCATTGAGACCTATTTAATGAGTTGAGTACATTTCTTTTTTTCACTCCTCTTTTTCTTTTGTATTTCTTATCACTAGCTAAGCCACAATGATTAGAGTTGCATTGGATGTATAAATTTCTTTGACACATACCTGGTATGCTTTTGTTTTTGTATGTTTTATTTAGTTCTTCAGTAAAGGTTTGTATTTTTCACTAAAAATCTTAACTATTTTATGTTCGGAATATATACACAAATTTTGCAGTTGTTTTCTCATTAAGGAATTTTTTTTCTTAATGTTGCCTTACTAAGAATCAAAAGAAAACTTTGTGAATGTGTTAGAACTTCAACTACTTCTAATAATAGTTTATTTGAATATCTTATATTTTCTATGAATCAAATAATCTACCATTTGCCAATGGTAGGGTTTTTTTATTCCTTTATTTTAAATCTAGAGCTACTGATTGTATAACATTTCCAATATACTTGATTAATTCTGGCATTTTTAGGTATTTTTAATAAAATTTCAAAATTCATTTACATTTTCAAATATTTAGAATAAAATTTATGAGAAAGCCATTTTAAACTAAACTCTGATTCTTTGGGGATGTCCCTTTTTAAGTACTAATTGATTCTTTCTCTTTGTTTTTAATCAGAATTATCCGATGTATTTCTCATTTATGTATGAAGTATACTTTATTCTGTTTCAATTTGAATTTTTTTTTTAGAATATTACTATAACTAAATTCAAGGCTTATTTGCATTTCACCAGTTTTTCCATCACTGTCCTCTTACTGACTTAGGATTTAATCTAGGCTACATCATTGCATACAATTATTCCATTTCCACAATGTCCTAATATCTGATTGTTTATCTCTCATTTCTAGTTTTCATGACCTTAAAAGTCTTGAGGCATACCGGGCAGATGTCCTGTTGAAGGTCTCCAATGGATTAATGTTGTTCTTTCTCCCAATTAGACCAGAATTATCAGCCATTTGAAATAATACCACAGAGGGAAGTGCCTTTCTCATCACATCATACCAGGGAGGTAATGATGCCCACATGGAATCTGTGATGTTAACATCCATCATTTGGTTGAGGTAGAATGTACCAAGTTTCTTGCGCTAAAAAATGCACTTTTTTTTTTTTTTTTGCACTGCACTACTTTTTGAAAGATATCAGCAAACATAGCCAAATGTTAATGGGGTGGTGTAAAGAAAGGACAAGAATTAACTTCCAACTCCTGGGAGCACAGTATCTCCATATGTGACTTGCAATTCTGTCAAAAAAAAAAAAAGCCACTTCTTTTTTATTAAAATAATTGGTTTTAAAATACTTATTGATTTATTTATCTTCCATTGACTGTTAACTTCATGAAATATCTCCAGAAATATTGATCAAGACAGCTAATATTGTTAGATCTACTGCAGGAAGAAAAACTATCACCTTGATAGAGTACAAGTATAACATCGCAAGAAGGAGAAGTCAGAGGGAAAGGGAGATGTTTATCAGAATCTTATACCTTCACTGAGTAATTTTAAAGCTAGTCTTGACAAGAGGACAGTTGGTGGATATTTAACAGGGTCAGGAAATAGCTTTTGGATTGATGGGCACCATGAAGCCAGGATCTTGAAATGAGTGTTGATGAGCGGTTTTGTTAGTTTTGATTAAAAACCTATTTTAGCTGGTTATTGGTCTTAATTTCAAAGAGCAAATATTTTCTAGAACAAATAATTGCTTTATTTTTGCTTGTTCTTGGTATTATTTAATGGAAGTTCAAGGAAATATTCTGGGTTCAGTTTTATTTAACAAACTGACCAGAAGTTATGTTAATTTCAGTTCTTAATATTTTGTTGTTTTGCTAGCTTCTTGAGGTGAATGCAAATTTCACTTATCTAAGTTAAAAAATACATTTACAGCTACAAAATTTCTTTAGAGTGTGATTTTGATATCATATGATTTGATATATAGTAAGATTCATTTTTAAGTAATATGTAATTTTAGTTTTGATTTCCCCTTTAACATAAATATTAAAATATTTTTATTTTCAAAGGTTAATTTTGGCTATTTTAAATTTTAACTTTTAATTTTATTCCATTAATTCCATTAATATAACTTATATAAATTTTGTTTGCATTTTATTCTTTTTTTACTAATATTGTAAATATAATATGGGTATTTGGGAAAAATATTCTGTTTACTGGAAATTTAAAAATCTATTATTTTTAAAAATAATTCTATTTCTAATATAGGTTCACTTTATATGGTTTGTGGGTGTTTTTCGGTGCATACAATGCTTGCAAAGGCTGCATCTTTATGATAGATTATACCTCTTTGCCTTTTTGTTCCAGCTATTCTTCTCCATTTCTATTCCTCCTCTTTATCTCCTAGATCACCAGAGGAGGAACAAGTCGTCCAGGGTCTTAAGACTCTTAGGAAAACAGTTCCTTTGCCTTTTGGCATTCAGACTCTCATTTTCCGTCAGCAAGTACTCACAATTCTCCACAGCACAAGCTGTAGTTTTCTAGAACAGCCAAGTCTCATCCTATTAACAACAAAAAATAGATGTCAGCCTGCGGAGATATACCAGAGTGACCATATTTTCTCTTATTATATAGAGCATTTTTACTTCTTCTAATGAAGAATCTGTAATAGCTTTTCTGATATCAGAGACTGCCTTTTATTTGTTTAGTTATATCCAATTCAAGTGATTTTTGCTAGAATAAAAGAGTCTGTCTTAAAAATATGTGTTACTTCTATTTTAAAACAGGAACCTGATATTTTCTCTGAAAAATCTCAAGAGGTATTAAAAATTCTACTCTCTTTAAAGATATCAGAAATTCTTGGGGCCACAATAGAGTTCAATTTCAAAATAACCAGTCACACACCTCCAGCAGTCTGTAAAATATTTTCCCCAGGATACTCCCATGCTCATGAGAGCAATTTAATGTAGTAAGTAGTCAGCCATTGGAAGTAGATGGTACCTGTTGAATCTTTATTGTTCTACAACTTACTTGGAGGCCTTGTGCAATTTACTTAATTTCTTTACAATTATATTTATTTAAATAGAAAATGAGAGTAATACCAGATTTTGCCTTATACCACTGTTGCCAGGATTAAATGAGATAAAATCTGTGATGTGTTTTGCAAGGGCTTACTTAGCACAGGGTAAGGACTCAAGGCAAGAGGCCTATTATTAGTAATGGAAGCTCAATCCTAAGATAATAAATATATACCCAACTTGTATATCTTGTTCCAGGGATCATTACCTTTTCCCTAGGCAGCTATCATGATTATACCTAGAAGTGAAAGCCAAGAACCCATCAGCATCTGAGACAGCACATGGGGTAACAGGAGACAGGCTTCAGAAAGCAGGTGCTGAGCGATCTACTTAATTTTGAACGATGGCATGTATCTGGCCTAGGGCTATTTTTAACAATCTCAGGAAAACTACAGCAGATCATACTCTGTAGCCTCTTAAAGGCACTTCCAGCACCTTTCAGGATTCAGGACCAATGGGAACTCTGTGCAAATTTATTTGCTATCATTTCTAGAGAAATATTTACTTGAATTATGATTGGAATTTCTTGTCACATATTTTAATAATATTCCCACTGTCAGTCTATCCATAATAATTCAAACAGTGAAACTAATCTCTACTACTAGATATTTGCCTTCTCTTTCACACTACCTACATTTCTGAGAGTTAGCTGGTTCTTCACACCAGCAAGTTGAGTCAGCAAATAAGTGACCACATGCATATTGCTAAAGTACCCCTTTCCCTGCTACAAACCATAATTAGCTCTAATTAGATATATTTTAAGCACCTCTAACTCAACTCCACATCTCCAGGCATAATCTCTTGATTCCTATTATCTTCTGCCCTCAAATTTTCTTGTCTTCCAATGTTACCCATGTAGAAAATGGTATCACCATTCACCTAATTGCTCAGGGTTAGAACCTGGCAATCACCTCTCCCTCTTTCTCTCACACCTCATAACTGATCCCTCAGTGAACAGCAGTCAAAGTAAAGGTAACAAGAGCTACCTTAACTATATGTTGTTATTTCACCCTTCTTCCTGCTTCCACCACCATTGAAATCACCATCATTTCTAACCCAGACAACTTCTGTAGCCTCCTAGCTTGTCCCATTGCTTCCTCTATTGTATCACTCAGTCTATTCTGAACATACCAGCAATTATAGAATTATTGATTTCTAAATGACTTCTAAATGGCGAATCAGATAGTATTACTATTGCTTAAAATCTTTCAATGATTACCTATCACACGTTGAATGAATTTCTACAGTGTTATTATGGCTTAGAAGAATGTCAGAACTGGGTTTTATCTCCAGCCTCCTCTGTGTCATCATTTCTTATCATGCTACTTGTCGTCCACTTCACCCCAGCCACAGAGCCCCCTTGCTATTCCTTAAGCACTCTCTGCACACTTTTGTCTGAGGATATTTGCTCTTGCTATTCCCCTGTCCCGGAATCCTATTCCTTACATGGCAGGCTCACTTAATTCACTTCATTCAGATTTTAGTTCATATATCCTCTTATTGGAGTATCTGCTTTTCTGCTTATATGCCCATTGGTATAATTTTTCCCCAAAACAGCATCCATGTCTACCTATTCTATGATGCTGTAATGTTTTATTTTTTTCATAACATTTATTACTCTTCAAAATCTTGTTTTATTTGATTGATTATTATCTGCCCCTACTCATACTAGAATGCAAGCTCCAAGAGAGTGGGGCTGACTCTTTTTATCCACTTTTGAATTCACAACATTCATAACACACCTCTAACCTGCCTCATTGTAGATACTCATCAAATAAATCTTCCGTTTATTATTCATTTTAGTTTTGTTTTCTCTTTGCAGTAATTAGTGTATGCCCTGCTGAAGGTCCTAGTGAAAACTGTTATATGGAGCTGATGCTGGGTTATTAGATATATTTCTGCAGCTTGTGTACATCAGAATGCTAGGGGCACCCCTTGGATTTGAATTATGTAGAAACTCTGCAGCTCTACACATTGGCCCTACAAGTAAGAAAAAATAAGAAAATATTGAACAGGAACCCAACCTTGAGGCTGATAGAGAGAACCAGAGGAAACTGATAAATTTAGAGCAAGTGGAGCCAACAGGATTCTTAAGTCTACTGTTGACGACATCATTGTGCAGGTCATGATACTAGAGATTACAATTCTATTGAGAGTCATTCCCCCTTTCCGTGGCCCCCAGCTGCAAATAAGCAAGTATAATAAAAGCATAATTTAGGGCCAGTAAAATATGTGATTAATACTTAATAAACAGAATGTGTCAGCAGAACAATATCATGTTAGGTTTAAATTACATGTGAAATTGAATTTATAAATGTACTTGAAGGGATGAAAAGAAATGGCAATAACTGATATCAAACTAAACATGTCCCCAGTGTTTTCTTTTCCCAATGTCTTAGAGACTTTATGAATTGGGGTTACTTCAGGAAGAGATAAATGCTCTGTATGTTTTCTTTCCTTCGTCTCCATGCAATGAAGTGATAGAGATTTCAAATTGAAATGCACTTTGAGGTTATCAGGACAGAAGAGTCATCAATTTTAAGGTCTTTTTCTCTTTTGCTTTCTACTGTTCCTCAGATCGTTTTATGCTCTGGACCATTTAACTTCCACTTTCTTAGGTCTCTACCACTCATGTCAACTTTCTCCACCTTCGCTATTCTGGCATTTCACCTTTGCTTTCCTCCTATTAAACCCACTAAAAGGCCTACAAATCACAGCCTCTGGTGAGTCATTTTTCCTCCATATACTTCAGTTTCATCATCTATAAAATAAAAATACTAGCAATCTGTTATGTGTTTTACAAATATAGTATAGCATAAAGCAAAAAATATATGTAGAAAATGATGAAAGGTGCTATGAGGCAATCAGAAGGTAAGGAAAGTGGAGGAAGGCCGATCATCTAAAGAGTTGTCACGAATAGAGGAAGACGATGAAGCAAGAGTCTAAAGAAAAAGATAAGGAGCATATGGTGGACAGCAGGTGGTAGAGAAAGTGACTTCATCTAGTGGCCTAAGGGAACAATATGAAAATAAAGGAAACATTCTGTGAAACACCAAGATAAGCACCAGAAAATATATAATCTTTTGCTCTTCAGACAGAGCTAGGCACTGAGATATGCTAAATATGTGTTATTATTTATTTTCATTGGAAATTGGTTAGTAAAAGCATAAGCTGGCTTACTAACAGTGAGTTAGGAATTAAAATTAAGTCATGATTCCTATGGCTGTGTTTGTGCTTAAGTGAAATTGCACTATGATTAGGTTAATAGAATAAGATGTAAGTGCAAAATTTGTTAAAGTCATGGGCTTTCAACTCTTATCAAAGAGTAAGGGAATGGGTAAGAAATAATAGGCAATTAGAGCCTACCAACAACTAATTTCAGAAGATCTTTGTGCAAGAGCCAATAGTAGAAGTTGCTCAGAACAGCCAAAGGGATGACTCAGAGTAGAAGAGGGTCTCTGGGCCTGAGGATTTATTTTCATGCTTCTCAAATCAGGAATACTTTGCACACTTCTCTCAGTAAACTATATCCAAGGAACTCCCAAGGAAAATCAAAGCAGGCTGCAAATGCTAGATTATGACATAAACAGATCCCCTGATTCTTTCAGAATTAGATACTACTGAGATTTTAGACTACTGCTCCTCTTGAGAGAGAAAATCACTAGAGAAATTTATTTCACTTACTTTGGGATTGATTCTCATTGAAAAGTGTTATTCTAACTATTTTCGTGCACTTGCTTTGTTACGCAGATTTTGGGGGTGAAAACACCTAAACTACAAGAAAATAAAAAACTATTTGTCTATTTTATACATTCATTGGATGAAAAGCTGTATCTCTATAATGCCAGGAATCCACATTCCAAATTTCAAGAAATTGGAGTCTTTTCTTTTATTGAGTGCTACCAGTGCTTTTTTTTTCTTCTTTGGATTTTGTTTTTAAATTTTGACACTAAACTCAAAGCCTGACATTAAAAATTGAAAATTGGCCAAGAATGGTGTCTCACACCTATAATCCCAACACTTTGGGAGGCTGAGATGGAAGCTGAGGTGGAAGGATTAATTGAGTCCAGCAGTTTCAGACAAGCCTGGGTGATACAGTGAGACCTCTACAAAAATTACAAAACGTATCCAGACATGGTGGTGTGCACCTGTACTTCCAGCTACTAGGGAGTTTGAGGTGAGCGAATCTTTTGGGCCTAGGAGGTTGAGCCTGAAGTGAGCCACCCAGCCTGGGAGAAACAGCAAGACTCTGTCTCTCAAAAAAGACTGAAAATTGCAGAATCATATCTTTATATATATATATATATAAATATGATTCATATAAGTAGAAAAAGATCAAATAACAAATATGTAAATTTTATTTGAAAATTTCATTTTATATGGTTTATTGGCAAAAACCATATAAAGAAAATTTGTAGAAATAATCCAAGCAGTATAGAAATCAGTTTTGTTTTATAAAGTCACAAGATGGTGAACATTTTTCTATGCCAATTTAATGTATTTAATTTTTTAAAAGAAGGTATTGTTTTAAAATATGAATCAGATTAAATCTTGGCTTTCTATTTTGCTCTATAATGTAAAGCTGAATTATTATTTATTTCCACTGATTCATTAACTCAACAAATATTTGTGGAGTGCCCACTCTCTGACTGTTCTAGGCACTGTTTACCTAGGCACTCCATTACCTAGGCACTGTTCTAGGTAATGGAGTTAGGGAAGAAAACAAGATGAAAGATACTTCTCTCTTAACAGGGCTTGTGTACTAGTAGTGAAAAACATGAAATTTTGATTAGATAAACAGACAAATTGATACAATTTAGATTAGATAGATATAAACCTCATGAGGAAAAAAAAAAGGGAGATGGGCTGGAGTTTGTGGTGGGTTACTTCAGGTTGAGTGACCAGAGGCTCTATTTTTGACAATATTATCCATAAACTTTGATCTGAATTACAAGATTTGGAAGAAAAAAAATATTCTCAGCAGGGAGTGACAATGAAAAAGCCTGAAGATAAGAATTAGCTAGTTTTAGAAAACAGGAGAAAAGTCAGTGAAACAAAGTAAGCACAGGAAGAACGGTATGACATGACTTTGGGGTGTTGATAGAAACTAAATCTCACAAAGCTTCACAGGAAAACGTAAGACGATATTCCGTGTTTTATCAGTGATATGCTGCTGGGAGGCAAAACAGTCCAAAACTTAGTGGCTTAAAAAGCAATATTGGGCTGAGTGTAGTGCCTCACACCTGTAATCCCAACAATTTGGGAGACTGAGGCAAGAGGATCACTTGGGACCAGGAGTTTACAACCAGCCTGGGCAACATAGCAAGACTCTGTTTCTATTAAAAAAAAAAAAAAATTAGCCAGACACGGTGGTGCATGTTGTAGCCCCAGCTACTGGGGAGGCTGAGGTGGGAGGATCTCCTGTGCCTAGGAATTTGAGGCTGCAGTGATCTATGATTTGAGTACAGTGATCTACACTGCACTGCTACCTGGGTAATAAAGTGAGACCTTGTCTCAAAAAAAATTGTTTAAATAAAACAAAAAGTTATATTAATTTATTTTGCTCACAAATCCACAGTTATCCATGCAGCATCAGCTGCAGTGTTTAAACTGGGTCCTGAAAGATTCAAGATGGTTTGCTCACAAAGCTATCAAGTTCTTACAGTTTATCAGATAAGAGCTCAATCAGACTGTAGGCCAGGTGCCTGCATTCTTCTTTATGTGAGCCTCCCCACAATGGTCTCTTAGACTCGACAAACATAGTGGCTAGGCAATAATAGCAAGCACCCTAAATTAACTAGGAAAATGTACAACGCTTCATGGCCTACTCACAAAAGTCATACAGCATGAGTAGTCACAGTCTTGCCTATATTCATGGGAAATGAATACCTCTTAATAGGGGGTGTATCAAAGGCATATTGTAAGAAAAAGAAAGTACCTGGGCATGGTGGTTCATGCCTATAATCCCAGCACTTTTGGAGGTTGAGGCAGCAGGGTCTCTTGAAGCCAGGAATTCAAGATCAGTCTGAGCAACAAAGTGAGACCCCATCTCTACAAAAATAAAAATTAAAAAATTAGCCAGGAATGGATGCATACCTGTCGTCCAAGCTACTTGGGAGGCTGAGGAAGGAGGATTGTTTGCACTCAGGAGTTTGAGCTACAGTTATCTATGAACAAGCCACAGCACTCCAGCCCAGGAAAGAGTCAGGCCCTGTCAGAAAGACAGAAAAGAAAAAAGAAAAAAAGGGAAGAAGGCAGGAAAGCAGGAAGGAAGGAAGAAAGCAAGGAAGGAAGGAAGGAAGGAAGGGAGAGAAAGAAAGAGAAAAAAGAACAAAGTGTGATAAGAAGTCTTGTTACAGCCATCTTCAAAAAATACAATCTGCCACAGCCTATCTTTAGGCTGTGGTGATGTATATACCTCTCACATGTAAAATACAGTCGTTCCCTCAAGACTGAAAGGTCTCAATTTGTAATCATATAAGCTCAAAGTTCAAAATCTTACAATCTTAATCCAATTTCAGTAAAAATAATTCCCCTTGAGTGCAATTCCTCAAATACAGCTCATTGAGCACTCTTTTTTTTTTTTTTTTTTTTTTCACAATGTGATACATGTCACACAACCAACCTAAAAAGAGAATTTTTCTAGTTTTCCAAATACTCAAATTCAAGTGGAGGGCAGACATTGAATAACTGCTATAGACACTCCTGCTATAGACACTCCTATGCAAAAGGGTGGTGAATGCTAAGGAACACAGTAGTCGCTGGTCCGTATCAATCCTGAAATGCCAGCCACATGCTGCCAATTCTTTGATTAGAGTTCAGTCCTACTCCCTGGAAATTGTTCTCTCTTTGCTGCACTCCATGATCTCCTCATTCTACCCTCTGAGTCCACCTTCTGTTTTTCTAAGCCTTTTTACACCTATCCCCTGCTTGTAAAGGTTTGAAGCCTTAGCCATATCACATTTTGTGCTGTTTCTTTCCCTTTTTCTTACAAGTTGATACACTTATTTTAATATTGGTGAGATTTCTGTGTATTTGTGTACAATTCATTCCATCAAACAAAAGCCAAAAACACAGATCTTGTCAAGACAGGTCATTCTCTTTCTTGAGAATGAGAGACTTACCATGAGACTGCCATGGGACACCATCCCTGAGATTCTTATGAGCTTTATTGTATCATGGAGAGAATATTTAAAGCACATTTTATGCTCCTTAGAGGGATGATTGTTTGCAAAATTATATAAAGGATAATCTTAGATCTCTCTGAGGTCTTAAGTATGAGTTTTACAGTAGAATTGATTTTCTCCCTTAAGCCAGTCCTTAATTTGAACATCATTTGCAATCTAGAAACATTAAGAAAGGGAAACTGATTTATTTTCAAACTAAGGATGTTCTAAATATTTTATTTTTAAGAGTTAATTTTTAGCTCTTTCCTCTCCTCTGACATGTTATCATAGGCAGTGAAAAGAATCCAGGTGACACTTCCAATATTCTGCCTGAAAGCTTCCTTAGTTTGATCATTATGTTCATTGGTGTATTTCCCATTTTGCCTGTTGCTTCAGGTAACAGTGTGTTGTCAAAGTTTCCACAACTACTAAACATCTCCCAGTCACATTTTTCCTACTTTCTTTGAGCTGTCAGAGAGCTTCCTCAACATTCTTTGGGCTCCTGGTAACAGTTTGCCAAGACTTTTCTGGCTTCCTTCTAAGACCCATCTCCAAGTTAATGTTTTATGTTTAAGGGTCTTTACAGCAACACCCCACTTTCCAGTACCAAAATTTATATTAGTTACTTTTTGCTGCATTTAACAAAAAACTATCCCAAAACCTAGTGACTGAAAACAAAAACAAAAATTTCTTTTGCTCATAATTCTGCTGCTGGACAAAGCATGGTGAGGAAAGCCAATCTCTGTTCCACCTGTCAAGATGGCTTAATTTCTTGGCTGGCAAATTAATACTGGCTATGGCCTGAAAACTTAGCTGAAGCTGGAGGGGCTATATCTCTCCATATGGGCCTCTCCACAGGTGACATGAATTTATTCAGGCATGGAGACTGGGTTAGAAAGTGTCCCAATGGGATCAGGTATGACTTTATCTAATTTAATTACCTGTAGTGTCACTTCCACTGGAATATTAGGGCCATCCACATTTAAAGGCAGTGAACATAGACTCTCACCTTCCAGTGGTAGGACTATCAAGTTACATTCACAGAAGTAAATGTAAATCGGAAACTTTAAGTCTTCTTTGAAATTAAAAGTTGCTTAATGAAAGATGTTGGATGGCTTTCAGCTAGATTAGTAATGTGATCTGACTTTTGTTGTAAAAGATTACTCTGGTTTTCTATGAGGAAGATGGATTAATGTGTATCAAGATGAAAATTAAGGATCTCATTAAAGAGGCTATTGCCAAGTTTAGGAAAGAGATAATGGCAGCTCGAATGGGGAGAAGTAGGGAGGGAGACAAGATTAGGGATGTGTTGTAGAACTACAATCAGTGGAAATAAATTAGATGCAGTCATTGAGAGAAAGAGAGTAATCAAAAATTGCTTCTAAATTTTGCACTAGAGAAATTGTGTGAATTATAATTCTATTCACTGAAATGAGGAAGGCTAGGGAAGAAACAAGTTTTAATTCTATCCTACAAGGAGATGAGATCAAGAGCTCTACATTGTCTGTGTTAAGTTTGAATTCTTTATTTAATATTCTAGTGGAGATGTTAAGTAGGCCATTATGTTTACATGCCTAGAATTCAAAGGATTCAAGAGGAGATGTCAGGGATAGAAATGCAGGGTGGTAGGGTAGAGGGAGATAACTTTCATTACCTATGTAAATGCCATGGGTTATGATGAAATAAAGCAATTTAGACAATGTACGTAGAACATAATGGGTAGCCCAGGATTCTGAAACATGCTAATATTAGAAGACTAGGGACAGAAGTAGGAGTCATTGGAAAAGAAATGAGACGGGGCAACAAGTGAAGGTGGGGCTATCCAAAATGCCTGCTATGTAGAAGCCAAGTGTTTTAGCTACTATGACGGTGTAGTAAAAACACTCCAAAACTTAGGTCATTTAAAAATGTATATTTTTCTGTGAATTGGCAATTTCAGGTGAGCTCTTACTTTACTGTGCTCTCAGTATAAGCTGGGATAACGTGAAGGCAACAGCCTAAAATCATGTGGAAACTTTCTCCAAGTGCCTGGAGACTGTATTGTAAAGATCCACACCTGGAAGCTGGGACAGCTGGAGTTTCTAAATCCTCCCCTCTATCGCTAGGCAGTATTTCCATGTAATTACTCCAGAATGGTGGCTTTAGGGTAGCTGTACTTCTTACTTATCTGTTTAAGCTCCCAAGTTGTGTGATCCTGAGAGAGAGACAGGTGAGTACATATTGCCCTTATTACTTAGTCTTATAGGCCATTCAACATCTAATTCACCACATTTTAACAGATAATACAATTTAAAAGGTCCAAAGAAGCTGAGGAGAGGAAACAAAGATCCATCACTCAATGGAGAAAACAGAGACCCCCATCTCTCAATATTACTTTGTTGAGCTATGTTGGTGCAGTCATCTTTGGAAAATATATTCTGCTACAACAAATAAAGAAGATCAAGCAAGGTCAGCAGGATTGGATTCCGTTAAGACCGCTAGTAAGTGGAACCTATCAGAATGAGTGCTGAATTTGCCAACTGTTAGAGGTCACTCATAACCCTAGCAGGACCAATGGGAAAGAATGAAAACAGCTTGGGGAAGAGTAAAAAGGAAGGGCGAAAATCTGTGATTATAAGAATAGTGACTATAGATGACATTTAAGAGAGTTTTCTGTGGAAGGGAACTAAGAAATACAGCAGCAGGAGAAAGATACACAAGTTAAAAGAAATTCATTTTTTAAAGAGGGAATATTTGCATGCTGATGGAAATCATTCAAGAGAGAGATAATGAGATGCAAAGAAAAAAGGAAGTGTGGTAGGCACAGAGTCTCAGAGCACTGCACAGTTTAAGATATAGGACTTTTATGGGAGAGTAGATCTGTTTTTTTACTTCAAAGCAGAAACAAACAAAAAAACTTATTTGTCTTTCTTTCTTCAAGGTTAGTAATTTGCCCAGAGAATGAACTCTATTGATAACAGCCTGAGGAAAGTTAGAGCTGAAAGCAAAGTTATGGTTTTGTGAGTACACTGGAAGAAAATACAGCCCAAGAAATTAGCAACATTATTTCTGAGTCATGTATTTTTAAGTTAAAAATTAAGGTAACAGGCAAGATCATTTTAATCATATTTCTACTTCTAGTGATCTGAAAAAAACTCTAACTCATCTTCACTCTGCTATTTAGTTCTTATATATATATTTTTTTTTTTTTCAAGTAGATGAAAGAATACTAACTGGGAGTCAGGCAAATTAGATTTATAATAACAAAAAATTTGACGACATTTTTAGATACATCTCTTTTTGATCTACATTGTTAGTCTCTAAGAGAATGTGCAAATTTAAGGTACTAAATTATATTTTTCAAAACTTTATATTTCACTTCATATGCAATATACTTTTTACAATATTAACTTTTAATTAATCTTGTTGTTTATGTGTGAATGTTAAGTTTTGTAAATCAAAGAATTTTGACTCTTCTTTATCTTTTTCTTTTTTTTTACTGTAGATTCTTGAAAGCTTATAGCAGGAGCATGTGCTTAGTGATGGTACTGAAGACAATGTATCAATATATAAGGTTTTATTTTTAGAAAGATTATGACACTTTGTTTGTTCTGTTCACTACTTTCTTAGGTATTTGAAGCCTGTTAGTCATTTTATGCTGACAATAATATGTGATAGGTGCTATTTCTGCAGTGATTAAAACTGAGATACAAAGACGTTAACACTAAGGTCAAACAGCTAGTAATTTTAGATGCAAAGTCTGTGATGTTAACCACTTATCTGAACTGTGTCACTGATAATGATGAACCTATCGATGATAATGGTTAAGAAAATGATGTTGAGAGTGGTGTAGCTGAGAGTTAATTAAATAAATGAGGCTTAATTCTAATAATAAAATGCTTACAACAAGGTAAAAGAGAATTATGTAGAGGAAATTAGCTTGCAAAGTGAGCTAATGCCTGTAGAACACAGGGTGAGTGACAGGGGATGAGACTAAGTAACTAATTTTCTGCAGTGAAGATATGAAATACAATCTCTGTCATGCTATTAATGGTGTATAAC